GCACGGGCTCGCGTGCCCGACTACCACTTTGCGTGGCTACACCCAGTCAGTGTCGGCACTCGGTTCGAGGTACAGAAAGGAATCTCTCTTATTCAAGGTTCGCACCATCTGAGGTAACCCGAAAGGAAAGGTTTTCACAAAACCTTCTAAACAACAAACATTCGGGTTCAACAAGGACAATTTCCCCCAGCATTTAGGTATTAACAAACTTGAAGGGTTCAGGGCTTCCAAATCATCACAAGACATAAAAACCGAGTTCCAGGTTCATCACCTCTTTCCCAATCCATACTATTTCAAGCAGATAGGAAACATTAGAGATACGGAGGAATCTCCTAAAGAAATCGAATATCGGCATCCTCAGCTAGGAATAATCCTAACTCAGTGGTCATTGCCGAACAATGAAAATGATCAGCTCGCATGACTCTTCCGACTAACAGTGTCGGCCGTCACGTCAGCTCTTTCACCAGTAGCTAATCATGCCGGCAGTCCTAAACGAGCTCAATTTCTATGCTGCTAAGATTTTCACGTTTCTGGATCTCATCACAAAGCCTCCTCTGGTCCGTCGGACCTTATTTTATCTTACATTGGTGGTAGCTAGGTCTTGAATCGATCTTCGAAAAAGCCCCAACCATTCTCAGTTGATTGAACACGTTCTAATTCCTTGATGGCGGCAAACTATCCTTCCTCGCCTCTCAGTTGATTCGTCTCGATCGCGTCTCGAACATAGGACATCAACGATAAAGACCACGACAAACCGATCCGGGTATGAATGGAGTACCTAGACCGAATGACATCACCACAATCGAAAGAACGACATAAGACAAGCGGAAAATGAAAGTACTCGTCTTAATCAATACATAAGGTTGCAAGTCTTGAGCTGGAGGCTCTAAATGCACCAAAAACAAGAATTTTCAAATGATTGCAAAAGTCCAAGAAATATAAAGGATCACTCTCGAAACTCCAAAGGAAAAGAAAGAGAGTTTTCAAAGATTTACAATGAACACAATTCAAAAAACAAAGACGGCTCTGCACCTCACGATGTGCTTACATCAGGCTCGACTACCCTCCTATAACAAAACATCCCTAGAAAGGTGTCGAGGTTCCTCCCGGTCAGGTATGTGATGATTCTCACGTACGCCACTTCGGTTTAATGCTAAAACAGATCACGAAAGATAATTGACCGCCGTCTATCTCGAGGCTAAGGTATTCTCAAGTTAACCTTCGCATCGACTTAGTGATGTTACGACACAGGATTCGATATCTTATAAGGATCAATAGAATATGAAATTTCGATGCTCAACTCCATCCAAAATTCTACGCAAGGAAAAAGAAAATCAAGCGAAATTGTCATGGTACGAAAATCAAATAATAAAGATGGGTCTCGAAATACAATTCAAACTTTACTACTAAGCGAAAGGTAGTAATCAAGGGCAAAGGAAAAGCACTCGGGTAGTAAAGGCGTGAACGGGTAGGTTAAAGCGTTGAAAACAGATCAAACTCATACATTAAATTTGCTGCAAATTTTCAGAAAGACTGATTGCACGAAGTTCGTATTTTAAACGTATCTTTTTGTACAAAAAATGCTATTTGAATGAATCTTGCGCCATTTGAATCCTAAGAGACAAAACTACAATTCATATGAAGACATCAAGGTTCCCAGATCACCAGAAGCATGCCAAAAATAGCAAAAATGAAAGACTCAAACTGCTGTGGTTTACACGAAAAAACTGACTATGCAATGATCGGATTTCTGGCGCTATTCTCGATATAAAAATGATAAACACGCGATTTCTTTTCCTCATGAAAGGAAACAGGCTGATCTACAATTTACAAGAAGACTTTGAAAAGAGACGACGGGGTTTTAGGGCTCAAAAACAACAATGAAAATAGATCACATACAAGACCGAAAAAACAGAAAAACTGGACGCGTACTCGCAAAACCTTGGCCACATCTTCCAGCACAAAATGGATAATTACTTGGTTCTTATTCGAGGTGAAACTTAAGAGATTGCACTTTAACTCATCAGAAGAGTTCAAAGCCTATCGACCGAGTTTAAGGGGTCAAAACAGCGACCAAACAGCCATTAGTGAAAGGTTTTCAAAAAGAGGTTTTTCAAACCCAACTCTTAAAACGTACAACAATCACGAGACAATGGCTTAGATGACAAGTCAAGGCTCGAATTTATTCGATAACATCTCAGCAATACCCAACAAAAGAAGAGGGAACAACAACAGTGTTCTAATATTCACGAAGAATTTACGAGACAAACAAACGAGAAATGAACGAACAAATTATAACAAGGGAAATCAGCCATTAAACCGAACTCCACGAATCTACAGGCATAAGTGGTCGGATCATCAACATGAACCTGACACCTAGACTCCACTCCCGATTCTCATTAACTGGGTTTTAACACGCGTCTAATAGTTCTATCCACAATAGTCACAGACTTCCGAATAATCCACACACCTGGGACTTCATCGGTTGTCTGCTCCCTTTACTTAAGCCTTCTCTTTCGAGATGGCTTGCGAATGATACTCACTCGAATACACTAAACAGAAACTTATAACGAGAGAACTGCTATATACAGAACTTAACTCGATAACACCAAACCGAAAACTCACAACAAGAACTTCTAAAGTCGGAACTTAACTCTATACCACTAGAGTTCAAGTCCATATACACGGAGGGTAAATTCCTAAGCCCCAATAATAGAACAAACAATAATCACATTAATCATATCATAAGCAATATCTTTATGACTTATGAATACATACCTTGAGCTGGCGCGACGAGACGAAAGCGAGTGGTCAAATGGTCATTAAACACACTAACACTAGAGAAAGTCTACAGAAACGCAGACTAGCTCTCATACCAAACTGTAACGCCTCGTTTTATTTTAAAGGATTTACCGAATTTATTTATAAAAATCAGAGTTAATTTTTTTCGCAAATCTCAAATTAAACAAAAGTACAAACACATCAGAGTAAACCTATACATGCATATCTAACAGTTATAAAAATTAAACCAAGTATTTATTAAACTCCAAAAACAACCATAGAGTTAAAACATAATTCCAAGGTTCAATCCGACATAATCAATTTATCTAATTCAAAACAGGAAATACATCAAGCTGAAGCGACAGTTCATCAACATCATAAATAAGCGGAAGCATAATATAATGAGAACATAATCGACCATGACCATCACTTGTTCGTCCTTATGCCATCGCCACCAGCTCAGCTCAACCTAAAGGAAGGAAGAGGACACAACAGAAAAATAATGGGGGTGAGCGAAAACCATCATGCTCACCATTATCGCACAGTTTATCTCGCATAAAGATTTTAAGACAATAACACAGTATGCATAGAATCCAAGGTCTAACTCCCTACATGGCCCTATCGCAAACTTCCTATGTACATACAACAACCTTTAGATCACAACACGACAAGAAAGTAACTGGAAACCTTCCCATCTCCGAATACAACGGGCCTGGGATTTTTTCCATGAGAAAGTAGAACTGTTTTTCCCCTTCACGAATATCATACGGACCGGGGCGTCCACCTCCCGTATCAACTACGGGCCGGCGACCTCTTACTGTTTATGCATTCCTCAAAGGCACTAATAAACGGGACACTTAGACTAGGGTTCTCACGCATACACAAATTTTCGAACGAAACATTTATACGAATAATGAGTGCATTAATTGTAGATACAACTTAAATGTACCCACATGGTTGAAGCGACAAATCAAGAATACAAGTCTCGAATGCAGGGTGAGGTCAACACCTCAAAACACCTACATTAAGTCAAGATACTACAATCAACATTTTATCTTGACCTAAAAGGAAATCACAATCAGACTTAGTCGAACTTGATTCAACTAAGTTGTTCATGAAGTCCTGTGGATATTGGAACTCTTGGACTTAGACTCGACCAAACCAAATATGGAAGTTCACACAATTTCACATAAAAGGGTAATCCAAACAAGTCACAAGAATAACATGCGAGCCGGTTCTCATATTTTAACACAATAAACTACATAATGAAATAATTGCCGAGAAAATCACATATTCAAGATGGTCCAACAACCCAATGAGTTAGGCTCTGACATTTTAACACAAAATTTACCTCACTAAACTTAGTCAAAACACCAAATTTTAGCCCTTAACTCAAAACACATGATTTTATAAAATTCAAACAAGTTTACAGCAAAAACGAGCATAAATTTACATCCTGACCTAATGCGCGAATTAAGACTTGAAATTTATAAACCACATCCAAATATGACAGAGAGACAACATATTCAAAGCCATTTTGGAGCACAACTCAATTTATAATGATTTTTCCAAGTTTCTGACCAGAAATCAAAATCGATATTTAGAATAGCTACAGGAAGAGTTTGAACCTGAAATTTTTACACAAATATATACACACCAGAGGACATCACATATAGAATTTCAAGTCATTTGACCAATCATGCGATTTATCATGAATTTAATGAGATTCAGCGGCTAATCCAGTTTCAATAATCCATGTACGACTCGACTCTTAACAAATTCGTCCAAGGCCTTCACCATAAGGCCAAGGACTCACAATTGTTCTATAATCCACAGTACATTCACGATTTTAACAAGGTCTCATTCAATTTCACAAAATCGAAGAGATCGTTACATAAGACAAATACAAATAAGGCTATTCATACTCATATCGACAAGGCATTTAATATTCACATGAATAACACATCGCATATAAATCGAAAATGGTTAAGGTTCAAGCTGTCGATACCGTTCTCGGGAAAGGCGTTCGAAAACGGAACGAGGGAGGGCTGACGGGGCGCTCGGCGGCGGGTCACGGCGAGGCGGCTTCGCTCGGCTCCGCGCGTGGCTATTCTCGGCTTCCTATACGGCTGCTGATTGTTCGGAACAAACCCACGATAAGAGGGTTGTGAGTTCCTGTTGCTGCTGTTTGATATTATCACTCAAGGACCGCCTGCTGCTCAACGATGGCCTCGCACGACTACTGCTCGCTGCAACTCGTCTGGGAAAAATGGTCGGGTCTGCTCGTCGGTGACGCTCGTGAGGGCCTGGTAGGTGGAAGTGGCTAAGGATCGCCGACGGTTGGGACTTGGCTGTGGCCATGCGTGAGGAGGAGGGGTTTCCGGTGACGCTCGTGAGGGCCGAATTCGCGGGTGGCAGAGGTCGTTAAGTTGCAGCGGTGGCGACTTCGCGGCTAGCAGGCGTCGGGAAGAAGGGATCGCCGAGGGATGCTCACGGTGGCGGGGACTTCGCGAGGGACTTCTGTTCTCACGGGCAGCGACGACTTCTCGGCTTCAGCGGCGGAGGAGGCTTCTCCTTTTTGCAAGAGGGAAGCTTGAGGGGATGGTTATGGTGAGAGAAGGGTGAAAGCGAGAGGAAGACGATGGCGGGGTCTGGTTTTTCCTTCTGTCTGTTGAGAACGAAGACGAGAGAGTGAGAGGTGAGCAGATTTTGACGAGAGGGAGAGAGATAGAGAAGGCTGCGGATGTTTAGACGAGAGAGTGAGGTGCGCACACGATTAATAGACTTAGGGCTTAAGTCTTGCCACACAAGAAAATCAGGTAGGTCGAGTCGGCCGGTTCGGGTCGACTGAGGCGCACGGGTCTTCAAGCTCGACATATGGCTCTGCTCTCGGGCTTGACCTTGCCAATAAAAAAAAGTAGCTCGATTCGATCGCACGACAATTAAAATAAAATATTCAAATATATAATACACACAATAATTAATTAATAATAATAAACATTTAGACATTTAATGACAATTAGACATTTAATAATAATAATAATAATAATAATAATAATAATAACAATAACAATAAATAATAATAGTAATAATAAATAATCTCAAAATTATTCATAAATAAACGGGGCATTACAGTTTTTTCTATGTTATAATCTCGAGTTGATCACGATTACTTCCGCAGGAACCGACTTAGGTTTCTACGTTGATTCAATGATTCTCCCCGAGTCGACTTGTGGTAATCGCATCTTACAAGTCGACTTGTCCTTGAACCCCTTATATCTCATTGTTTTTAGTAGACGAGTCGACTAGAGAGTGTTCTTTCTATTTTTTCATGACAATCTCTAACTGATCGCGGGTAGCTTGTACTTAGCGTACTGATTACGATTTTTCTTAAAAAGCTCGCTAGATTTCGATTCCGATTCCTCTTCTAATGCGTGTGAGCGTTTGATTGGTGATGGCCCGCTTTCCTCCGATTCTGTTCAAATTACTGTCTTTGGGCCAGCTGTCGAGCAGGAAAACCCTACTCGTGATTCATATTTCTCTTCTTTCGGGGTTGATTGGGACGAGTATAACCAGACATTGTTGTCGGGTGCTCTGATGGATGTCCCAGAAAATCCTCCGCGAAGAGATTCTCCTCAACTTAACCTCATTCCTTGAGGTATTCCCCTTAGGTTCCTAGATATTCCTCTGTATAAAACATGTCCAACTTCTGTACCAATAATTGCTCCTCTTTTTGAGCCTCGATCACGTTCAAGTGCTCAGGTTTTGGGCATATAGCCTTATCGAACGACCTCTAGGTTTTCAGTAAAATGGGCATTTAGCCTTCCCGCCTCACATAGGAGTTCGAGCTTTCCTAAATGAGATTGCAAAAATATAATCTCAGAAAATTATGATTTGGNNTATATATATATATATATATATATATATATATATATATATATATATATATATATATATATATATATACAGGGAGTGGTTCAAATAAAACTAGACCTGGTGTGAGAACCGTATTTGATGCTATTTTTTATTGTGTATGATGCTTTTTTAATATCACATGGTGCTATCATTTTCACAAATGCTAACATAAATTGTGTTACTATTATTAAGAAAATAGATCCATGTTAAAAATAGCACTAAAACACAATCAATCATAGCACAACGTACAACTATAAATAGCGGTTCTCACGTTAAGACTTGATTCTCATTTGAACTATATATATACATATACATACATATATATATATATACATATATATATATGTTTGCAAGATAAGGTTACACACCGAGCTCATTGATAAATTTTTTTTGAGGAAGATGGCGTTCCAGGGATACTGGTGGGGAGTGCCATCGAGGTGTTCAAGTCAGTAGGCCCCATTTGATAGCACCCGACTTATCTTGAGTGGCCCCTCCCACTTTGGTTTTAGGGGCCCCGGGTCGGGCCCCGTTATCTGCTTGAGTACCAAATCTCCAACTCGGTAAGTTAGAGGTTTGAGCTTTGCAGTGACATACTTCTCGCTTCTTTGTTTATAGGCTGCATTCTTGAGCTCGGCCTGAATTCGCAACTCGTCGATTAGGTCAAGATTTGCTCTTAGGTTCTCCGAGTTGGACTCTTCATTGAAATTACGAACTCGATACATCAGGACTCTGAGTTCGACAGGCACCAAGGCTTCTAATCCATAAGTTTGTGAGACAGGAGTCTCTCCCATCGAATTCCAAGTTGTCATTCTATATGCCCACAAGATATGGGCCAATTCCTCCGGCCATGTGGCTGTTTCAAGTTGGAGCTTAAGACCATTTTTGATGATTTTTTTCACGGCTTCAACTTGTCCATTTGACTGAGGGTGGTACGGGGATGAGAATAGGTGCTTGATCCTGTATTCTTCACAAAATTCGAACTGATGGCCATTGTCGGTTATGATGGAATTGGGCACTCTAAAGCGGCATACTATGGACTTCCAGACGAAGTTGATCATCTTCTGTTCGGTAATGGTTGCCAACGGTTCTGCTTCTTCCCATTTTATGAAATAATCAACCGCAACTACAGTAAATTTAACTTCCTTTTGCCTTTGGGCAAAGGTCCGATCAAGTCAATCCTCCACCTTGCGAAAGGCCAGGGACTGAAGATCGATTTCAAAGGTTTAGGCGACTGGTTGATGTTGGGTGCAAAGATTTGACATTTTTTGCATTTTCTCACCCAGCTCGTTGCGTCTCGCTTTAACGTCAGCCAATAATATCCTTGTCAAAGAATCTTGTATGGCAAGGCTTGTCATCCTGCATGACTTTTGCATATACCGTCATGGACTACCTCTAACACATATCGAGATTCTTGTTCAGTCAGGCATTTAAGCAACGGAGCCGAGTATCCCTTTTTATACAATGTCATGTTGTATAAAGTGAATCAAGTTGCTCGGGTCCGTAAAGATTTGGCTTCTTTCGGGTTTGGCAGTAAGTCCCCGGTCTCTAGGTATGTGATGATGGGATCCATCCAAGTCGGCTCCTTCGTCGGTTTCTTCAACTCGACATTCATTATTTGATGGGCCGAGGTGGACGGTTGCTCCTGTTGGCCGACTTGGACGTACTCCACATTTTCCATGCCTGCACTGGAAGCGAGGTGTAACAGGGCGTCTGCTTGGACGTTCAAGGTTCTCGGAATATGCTCTACCTGCGACTTGAACTAAAACAACTTCTTCTTTGCTAACGCCAAATACGGTATCAACCGATGATTTTTTACTTCAAAAACTCCAAGAATCTGATTCTGGAGCAGCTGCGAGTCCGAGAAAATATTGAGGCGGGTCAAGTTCATGGATTCCGCGAGGTTCAACTTGGATAAAAGCGCTTCATATTCAGCCTCATTGTTAGTTCACGGGATCTACCAGAACAACTCCACCCCCGGCTCTATTTGCTGTCGAAGATCCATCGACGTACATGATCCAAGATTGATAGTCATTAACTTCTTCGACTACCGGTGTGAACTCCGCAATAAAATCAGAGAGTGTCTGCGCTTTGATAGCAGTTCGGGGTTTGTAATGAATGTCGTCCACCTCATCATTCTGCCCGAAGTGTCGGGTCGATATCAATTTTGCCTCAATGGATATGTAGTGAGTAGGGTCGCAGTTTCCGAGCTGCAATGATTAGTGCAAATGTTAGCTTCTCCATAGAAGGATACCTCAGCTCGGCGACGTGTAAAGCTTTGCTGACATAATAGATGGGGGATTGTCGTGAGCCTTCTTCTTGAACAAGAACTACGCTGACTGCGGAATTGCTTACTTTCAAGTATAAGTATAGCATCTCATCAGGAGTTGGTTTCTACAAGGTCGGCGGTTGTGTCAATGTTTCCTTAATATTATCCAGAGCTTTTTGACAGTCATCGTTCCACTCGAACTGCTTTCCCTTTTTGATTGCATCGAAAAAGGGTTTGCATCGGTCGGTCAACTTCAAGATGAATCTGTTTAAGGATTCAAGTCAGCCAGTCAGGCCCTGCACCCCTTTGATTGACATCGGCGGTTTGAGGTCGATGATGGCTTTTATTTTGCTGGGGTTCACATCGATCCCCCTTTGACTAAACATGTACCCCAAAAATTTACCTGATCCTACTCCAAACGTACATTTCTTTGTGTTCAACACCATGGGGTAGTCACACAAAATATTAAACATTTCGGTGAAATGGGTTACATGGTCAGGAGCATGTACGGAATTTACATGTATATCGTCTACGTAAACCTCCCTGGTTCGCCTTATCAAACTAGAAAACATCTTGTTGACCAACCTTTGATATATGGCCCCAACATTCTTCAATCCAAATGGAATCATTGTATAACAATAGAATCACTATGTCGAGTAGAAGGACGCGTGCTCCACTTCCTCGGGGTCCATTGGGGTTTGGTTGTAGTCGGAATAAGCATCCATAAAGCTCATCAGTTCATGGTCCGATGTCGCGTCCACCATATAATCAATGTGTGGTAGGGGTAGCTGTCAATGGGACACGCCTTATTCAGATCGGAAAAATCAATGCAGAGGCGCCATGAACTGTCGCTCTTCTTCACCAGGACTAGGTTTGACACCCATGTCGAATATTTGGTTACTTTGATGAACTTGTTGTCGACGAGCTTCTTCACTTCCTTCTCCAAGGCCTGTTGTCGGTTTGGGCTGAGTTTTCTCTATTTTTGTACGACAGACTTGACCGTTTTGTCGACATTAAGTCAGTGGCAAGCTACCTTCGGATCAATGGCCTTCATGTCCTTATGTTCCATGCAAACGCGTCGGAGTTTGCATAGAGGAATTGAATAAGTTGAGTTCTTATAGGCTCTTGGAGTTTTGCGCCGATACAGAGCGGTCTGTTGCATGTCGGCTCGTCAACAAAGATGATTTCCAATTCTTCCAAGTGTTCAGCTCGGTCGCCCCCTTTCTTCTCCTTGAACTGGTCTCGAGGGTCCAATTCGTCTTCCTCTTTGATTGGCTCTTTGTCGGGCCTTCTTCCTCGATCTCAGGTCAGGTCCTCACCTGACCCATCTTCCAGACTTACCCACCTCGAAACTGGATCAACTGAGGTCGGGGTTAGTTCTGAAATGTTGTACCCTGAGGCTGAGGTGATTCCCAGGCTGTCGGCAGAAACATCATCTTCTGGGATAGCAGCGGTTACATTTTGCTCTTGGTTGGCGAAGAGTTATTCGATTTCTCGCTGGACATCCTGCGGGTCATCGTTTCCCTATTCGGTGACGGACCTCTCCAGCGTGTGAATTTCTTGGAAAGGGATTGCTAAAACGAGCTCTCTCACTTCTCATTGATCGCCATAGTGTGTGCCTTCTCCATCTGCGATGGGGAACTTCATGGCTTAATGAAAAATTGAGACAGCAGCCCGGAGTTTGTATAATGCCATCCTCTCGATGATGGCGTTGTATTCTCTTGAGAGGTCCATCACCTTGAATTTTTTCATTATTACCTTCGAGGTTTGCCCGTGCCCCCCAAATCGGATAGAGAGTGTTATATCGCCAATGGGGAGTGTCACGCTCCCGTTAAAACCTTGAACTCGGTCATTGCAGGGTTGGATCTCCCTTGGGTCGGTACCCATTTTCCTAAAGGCTCGGAGCATGAGGATGCTCGAGTATGCGCCAGTGTCCACCATGATCCGGTGGACGGGAATTCTGTAAATCGGTGCAGTAATGATAAGCGCATCCGAGTAGGGATGATCAAATAGGTTGACATCCTCCAAGATGAACGTGATTGGGCAGGTGCATGCACCAATAGTATCCCTTAGGTCGGTTGTTAAGACCTATTTTCCTGAATTATAGGCCCTCCTTGCATAGGCCTTCGATTGTCTTCGTGAAGTGGTCGGTTCTCCATTGTTGGTGTTAACTCGGGGGATGGGATTGTTCGGGGAGTCCGACTCCCTATCTCTCTTGCCCCTAGGTCGGGTGGACGGGAGTTGTTGTTCACCCGAATTGAAGGTAAAAACTTCCTTCTCTCCTTGCCGGATCATCTTGAGGTTGACCCCTCTCTCATCCTCTTCGTCATTGTCGGGGATCTCCAAAGGTCTCCCCTTCATTCTGATTTCGCCACTCTTAGCATACTTCTGAACCTATGGGTTCCCTATTAGCCTCATAAGGGCCGACAAAAGGCTAAGGCACTCATTAGTATTGTGCCCAGGGGATTTATGGTAGGCACAGTATTTGGATTTGTCCAGGTGTTTCTCGGGGGCGCGTATTAGCTTCACGTCGGGGATGATTCCCTTCCCCTTCAATTCCTCGTATATTGTGGCGGCTCCCACGGAATAAATAGTGTGATAGCCCGACGTCAGGTCTCATTTGTATTGCTTTCAAGCTGCCCTCACTTTGGGATCTCTGGGGCGACCCCCCAAAATGTTGTTTGTTTGATGATCCTCTGGACTGCTGTTTATTCTTATTCTTTCCTTCAGGGACCGACTTCGGTTCTTTGGAGGAGAAGTCTAAGTTCAGTAGCGATATCGACTCCTCGGCGATTATGTGATGCTGCGCCCTGGCGAGAAAATCCTAGAATGTTGAGGGTTTGTTCTGGCATGACTCCATATTTTGTTCTCGCTCGTTAAAGCGTGCCACATAGTCTTTCTGGCTCTCATCGTCCTTCTAGACGATGTTGGTTATTGATTCCTTGGGGATCAGACAGACTTGGGCCCCAATGAAATGATATCGAAAGGTCGACATGTGCTGTTGCCATCTTTTTATTGAATGATGTGGCAGTGAGTGGTACCATTTTTGGGTCCTTGGCCCTAGGGTCAATGAAAACATTCTGCAACGTAGGACGTCGGTTGCCCCATGCAGGTCCATCCAAGAGACAAAGTGACCAAGATGTGCGTCGGGGTCCGACGTCCCGTCATACAGTCTGATTTGTGGAACATTGATTTTTCCCGATAAGAGGACCATCATTACTTCTGGGGCCAGTGGTGAGTCGGCTCCCACGACCACACACTCCGAGTTGGAGGGTCCTTGTGGGGATCGTTTCTGGATCATATGTCGAGCTTTGAGCTCGGCAACCTTTTTCCGCAGGGTCTCTAACTCCGTCATCTCTTGTCTTGTGGAACAACTCCTCTCTATTGGATGCCTCAGGTCGGGCTATCTTTCTGGCTGTTGGAACAATGGCCGAGCTGCCACTGCGGGCCTGCGAAGGTGCCCAGAGTGACTTTTCGCTGTAGTTCGGGGAGGTAGGCCTCCGGTTGAGTCGCGACATTCCCCTTTTGTGGTTGTGGCGGGTTACCACGTGGTTGGGAAGTCGCCTGTGATGGGGTTGCGCCGTTGCCACGACCCTGGTCTGGCGGTGCCCCCAGCTTCACTGGGGTGATTGGTGCTAGTTATTAGTCAGGCATTGTCCTCGAGGTTCCTGACATGGTTTGGGCCATGAGGGCAGAGAAACCCTTCACGAACTTGGGGTTTTGGAACAGGGCGGCGAAATCCATGGCTGTCGGTGTGACGTTGGTTCTGCCGGCAGTTGGGGCCACTCCGCGGCTGACACTGGCCCTTAACGCCTATTCTTCTTGTCTTGATTGAGACATTGTTGCTAGAAATAAAAGTAAAGTGATTATTGAAATGTGTTTGGAAAATATGCTGGTTCGAAAATTAACTCCAAATATATTATGGAGCCTCTCTTCTAGCGCCAAACGTTATTATATGAAATTTAACAATGATAATTACGAAGATTAAGTAATATGAAAGTTGTAAATTGGCTGAATTTGTATTATTTTCAAGTCGGTTTTTTATTACAAGAAGTCGGTTTTCGTGGAACCGAGCTATTTAATGCGTGAATTTAATGTGTCAAGAGAAGATCCTCGTACAAGAGTAAATGCTGCTATTTATAGTATTTTTTGACTCGTCTTTTGAGGTAGAGTCGGCGGCATTAAATGTGAGTTGACCTCATAGGGTCGGCTACTCTGTAGGTGTGCCCATACGTAATGATTGGGTCATGTGCAACTGAAGGCTGATTGACAGACGTCTTATCATTGTCTACTTGACCTCGATTTTTTATGGAGATCGGTCTCGCGAATCTTCAAGGAGGTCGGTCCTTGTCTTGTCGACGAGGTCGGTATTCTCGTTTGATGCTGTTATCCCAAGTCGGCTCTTTTTTCTAACCCCTCGATACTTAGTCGAATATTCTCGACTAACCTTCCACGAGGCATCTCCTAACTCAGCTGACCGAGCAAGTTGTCAACATATATAATTTTTGTATGCGCTGAGCCTAAGTGGCAGGCTCGTATGTTTCAGAAGTTTATTTTGCATAATTATATGCTTTATATTGACAAATGTACATGGTTTTATGCTTGAGAATTACTATAAACTATTTTAAATTTTCTTTTTCCTTAAGTTACCGTATACTACTCTTATTTTTTCTTATATAATTCATATAATAATTGTTATGAATAAGTATTCTTTTTATTTTTTAAATCTTTATAATTTATTATTTGTAATTTATTGTTTGTATATTGTATCTCAAAACAATCATATTTTAACGATCTTCGATTTGATATCCATATTGCATATATAAAATAAAAATGTTAATTACATCTATCATTATAAATAAAACTAAATTTATTAAAAAATAAATATAAAAAATATAAATACAATATAAATTATTTTATAATAGATACAATAAAAATATAATTCAGTAAAAGGAGCTGATCTCGAAAATATTAATATATTTAAGTACCCATGTAGTACACGGTATCGTACTAGTTGATATATATTCTTCTTGAAAATTAGATAGATCTTTGAACAAATATTTGTTTTATAAAATTTATAATTTAATTCTAGAGAATTAGTTGATAAATTTGAACAACAGAGTAACATATAACAGACCTTAAAAATTGTGAGATTAGGATAATATAGATTTATATGAAATAAAGATTATTAAATTATAGATTTTTTTATTAGGAAAATTTATATAATTATAAATTTATATTAGTTAATGAAAAGATATAAGTTTTAATATTATATTTATTATTCACATATATTTTTAAATATATGATAAAAATTTTACCAAAATATTTATTTTATGGAACCGCATTGTATTCAAATTGAATTTTTGAATAAAAATCTTAAAATGACACTTATATTTAAATGAAATAATGTAAATTATTATCATTTATGTACATCGTACGAGTTGTGTACTAATTTTAAATAGAAATATTTTATATAATTTTGCGCAATTTAAATTCCATATAACATTTTAAATAAATTAATATAGGGGCGTATTACATATTGACTTCATATTTTATTAATTATAAATATTATTTAGTGAGAATTTTTAATTTATAAATATTAATGAATATCTATTACCCGTGCATCGCACTAGATTCATACTAGTTAGTTTTAATGAGTTTACAAAACTAATACATATACTGGAATAGGACAGTACCCGTGTTGTAGTAACACAGTACTTATATACTGTCATTTAGTACCGACTTATACGAACGAAAAATGAATATATACTGTTAATATTTGTTTACAAAAATGATACCCCTAATGTAGTAGGACAATACTAATGTTGTTGTAACTTAGTACCTATATATTGTGTGGAAGGAAAGAGAAAAAAAATAATAAAAAATTAAGAAAAATTAGTAGTAGAAGAGATAAATAATAAAAGATGAAAAAAGAAAATAACAAAAAATGTGTAAAAAGAGAGAGAAATGAAAATAATGAAAAAATAAGAAAGTTAGTAGTGGAGAGAGAGAGAGAGAGACAGATAACTAATAAATAATAAGAAAAGATAGTTTGTAGTGGGATGATGTCATTTTTTTTAAATTTATTTTTGATTTATTTTAGTAAGAGAGAATTAAGTGGAAGTTGATTTAGAGGGTAAGTAGTGCACTGGAAAAAAAATAAGTTAGGGAGTGATTAGTAAGATGGAAAAGGGATTGGGGATTTTAGCCGAAGTTAACTGGAAAAAAATAAGGAAAAATTTTTATTTGCCTCCTAAAGTTTATGATTTTTTTCACTTTGTTTCCTAAACATTATTTCCATCCGAATACCTCCTGAACTTTGCGCTTTTCTTTTTCTTCACCATCCTCCATCAGTCTTCCGTTTAATCTCTGTTAGTTCCCATCCCCATATTCTCATTTTCTTTCTTTAAACACTAATATCCTTTCAAATCCCTAAAACCTCAACTCTAAAATTCCCAAATTCACAACCTTCAAATCCATTCGATAATTGAATTTGAGATCGAAATACTCACATGGGCTGGAAAGTTCGAAAAGAGGGTGATGTTTATTGTATTTTTGTGCTTATTTTCGTGTGTTCTATGTGCTTTTGTTTAGTATTTTTAGGTCCGTTTTAGTGTCGACCGGTCCTTTTTATCGTGTTTTCGTATATTTTTGCTTCGTTTTATGTTTTTGTGGTTCAGCGTATTTTCTTGTCTTTTTGGTGTTGTTGAGGTCCACACGATCCGAGTTTAGGGAGACGAGCTATTTCTGAGACATTTCTGAGCCGTCTGAATCATGTCCGAGCCATCCCGAGAGTATTTATTAATTGCGTGGTGACATCCATTTACACATCTCAAACGAAGAGAAGAAGATTTAAAAAGTGTCGGTCAAAGTTTCAAGTTAATCGGATAAGTGTGCGAGAAATTAGAGAGAACCGAGCATCAAGGGGTCACCGGGACCACTTCCAGCGCCCAAGACTTGCGCCCCAGAATCCGCGAGCTCGTGGAAAAATCTGCGACGTCGAGAGTGCTCTCCACTCCATGCCCGCGAGCTCGTGGAAAAGTCCGCGACCTCGAGAGTGTGCCCTGCTTTGTCCGCGGCCCGCGACCTCGTGAGTGCTCTAGCGCCTAGTGCCAGTGCAAGCCCGCGACCAGCGACCCAGCCAGCGACCTCGCGAGTGCGCCCAGCGCCAAGTGCCCTGCCAACTCGTGACCGCGCGGAAAATTTTGGTCGAAAAAAATTTCAAGGAGCAGCTGGGGAGAAACATGGAGGTTTATGTCGATGATTTGTTGGTGAAGAGCAAGGAAGAGGCTGACCATGTGAATGATTTGAAGGAAACGTTCTTAACTTTGCGAAGGTATGGTATGAAGCTGATGTTAGATATGCTGTAAAAGCTTGGCTTTCAGATATAAACAATTCCATTTTGATCTGGCAATCATGTTTCGTCAAAGTACATATGTTTGCAGTTTATTTATTTATGCAATCATACTCCTTGTCTTACATTGAGATAGTGTGGTTCGTAGTGTTTCGAACAGAAAGGTCACCTATCGGTTCCTTGTAAGACTAAATTATTTGTTCACAGTCTAGACTGGCAGTGAGACCCCACTTGGAAAAAGACTGTAGTGTATTCTTGATTCAGTTGATCTTTGACTGGAGAACTACACTAGTACTTATGTTAAGTATTGAAGAGGACCGTGGAAGGCTAAGATTATGAGACTCACTGATCGTTGTTGTAATCTCGACCTTCAGTTATTGATGCGTTCTCTAAAGCTGTAAGATAATATAAAATAGACGTGTATGTTCATTACTTGTTTATTTGATTTACCAAGGGTGATTCCTATTCCGTTAAGATGACGTGCTCGGTACTTTGGTAAATGAGGATGTTTATATGACGCGCTATTACAAATTATTTATAGTCACTATGTTCCAGCGCGCTGGATTGATGGCGTCCCCGAGATGAGCTCAGGAAGGAATATTATGTCAAGCCCTGCAAGCGGATGTGTATCCGACATAATGATTAAAGATCTGAGTGGTACTAGTTTCGGAAATGAATAAGAAGTTGTCAGTAATTTAATTAATCTACGGACGTTATATCTTAAACATAGGGAGATAAATCGATCAATAAGATTAATAAATATTAATCAAATGGAGGTTTGATTTAATTAATTAAAATGAAGCCAAATGGGGAGAGCAATAATAATATTCTAGTGAGATATATTATTATTTAATTTTATTAGGATTTTAAGAATTAATTTTATTCCTTATTTAATGTTCCATGAGATAGGGAATATTCCTTCTAGAATATTACCTAGGGTTAGGAGACTTGAGAGTCTTCTAAAAAGTGATGTTAGGAGAAAGGAATCATGACCTAGTTGGGATTAATAAGTGAAGTAGAATTAGGATTCCTTGACCTAATGAGATAAGCCCATATTTGGCACCTACTTAAGGTCCCTAATGGAGCCTATAAATACACCATGTCCCAACCTCTTGTCTTGTACATGTGAGTCACGATTTTAAGGTTCCTATAAGGAAGAGGAAAATCGAGATTTATACACAATAGAGAGTTAGGGAGTTTCGATTAATCGCTCCACCAAGATTAGTCGAAGTAGGTGTTTAGGTAATCCATTAGAAGATTTTAAGGTGATATTTATCAAACCTTGAAGATCCAAATACTCTGGCCACTACTCGCCGCCGACATACCTCGCTCAACCAGGACTCCTCGCTCGACTAGGACTCCTCGCGCCCCAGGAAACGTGCCGCATACGATCGACATGACACAAACCCTGCTCGCCTAGCCCTCACAGGCATAGGAAAGCCGTAGCGCGCGACCCGCACGCACCCACTATTTCTCGCCTGATTAGGACTCCTCGTGCATATAGGAGACGTCCCGAGCACGTACCCGCGTGAGCCCAGACGCCGCACGCCTAGTCCTTCCAGGCATAGGAAAGTTAAACACGCACACGCATCTGTCCGCAACCCGAACCGCCGCAATCCGAACTCGACCAACTTGATCCGGTGATCCGTTTGTGATTCAACACTCCACTAGAGTCGACAAAGGCCAAACCCTTCAACCGATTGGGTTGTGGTAGACAGACGATCTCCATCAACGGAAATCAGAAACGACTCAGAGTCGGCAAAAATTTTAAACCGTAAGTCCTAATCCTAATTATAGATTCCGCTGCATTAGGATTTATTATTCAATAGATTTGAATGTGCACATTTGTCGACGTTCCTAATAGAACCCAACAGCTGAATCCTTCTAAGTGTTCTTTTGGTGTAAATTCGGGAAAATTCCTGGGATATATGGTGACTAAAAGAGGGATAGAGGTGAATCAGGAGAAGGTTCGAGCGGTGATCGAGTTGAAACCGCCCACAAAAGTGAAGGAGGTGCAGATTCTGATTGGTCGAATTGCGGGCCTAAGTCGTTTCATCTCGAAGGTGGCAGAGAAGAGTGGTCTATTGTTTCGAACGTTGAGGAAGAGCTCGAAATTCCAGTGGATGGAGGAGGCTCAAAAATCATTCGAGGAGTTGTGTTGTGTACAAATTATTTTCTTTTTACCGAGCACCGAATCAAATGATTCGTTTCCCGGGTCGATCTCTCGAGGAAGACTGTTCGGAATTTAATATTGATGTCGATTAACTTATACGTCTATTACGGAAAATAATGAAAATAAATCCTAAACACTCTAATCAAAATGGATTGAATAATAATTAACTAAAATATCAACTAAGAAATAACAATAATAATCTACCTAAAAATATAAACAATACAATAATAAAGAAGCTAGGGAATCGGGAATAAATCACTTCCGGTTTTACACTCATTCAACAACAATCAATAACTCGGTTAAGTAGTTCAACTAACTAACTCATTTAGCAGTTCAACCATACTAACTCTCGTAATATATGGAAAAACATAAACGAGCAAATTAACGAAACAATTAACACATAGACAATACGTCTCCGAACATGTCTATTCTAAACGAGCCAAGTTCTATCAATTTCTCCCCTTTTGGTTATGAAATAGATTATTTTTTTACAACTCCTCCCCTCTCGGTTCTACAAATTGTAATTCACAAAATTAACAAACTTTAACTTAATAAATCAATATCAAGCACAAATCAAAGTGTCACTCTTTGATTATATCATAAAATTAACCTAAATGTCACTCTTAGGTTATAAAGATTTACCAAGTTTAATTTATTAATTCATGATTAAAACAACTCGTCAAGATGGAATTATCAACATGCGTATAAACGAGCTTAAACCGGAATAATTATTCCCTACCCCTAGCTAATGATTTAGCTATTCATAACAAAAATAAACTCAACATAAGATTCATTGCAAATTATAATTACAAGAAAGAAAACTTACATGTAATCCAAGTTGATGAATAAAGTTGATACAAACGCCAAACTGAGAATAAATACACGCCAAACCGGAACAAGTACAAGCCTTGGAGAACACCTCCAAAATTCAACACAAGAACTAATCTAGAAACACACTAAGTGAAAGTAATGGAAGGATTAAAGGATTGTGATAAATTTGGATTGTGATTAATTTGGATTTTTAGGAGATGGTTTGGATGATGAATGAAGTGGGTATTTATAGATGATAAGTAGCATACCAATATCAACACTATCAACCATTGTCAACACTATCATCAACAACCATCATCTACCAAGGAGAAAAAGGAAGAAAAGTGAAGAAAAGTGAGAAAAATCGTTACCAACTCGCGGCCTTCTCGCGACTGCACTGCGCGGCTTTACGTTTTTGGCTCGTCCGAACTCGGAATTGAGTTCCGTTTTTTCCTACGCTTAGCTAACAAACCCCTCTATCCAACGATGCTTTAAAACCACACTTTTGCCCAGGATACATATTTTGTGGAATTTCCAACTTTTAAAAGGGTCGGTAACTTGCGCGGCTTCGCATTTTGGTTCCGTCCGGATTCATCCGAACTCGAAATCAAATTCCGGTTTTTCCTATGTGTAGCCAATAAGTCCACCATGATTGCCCGGTCTATAATCGACTCCTCACAAGACTTTCAACCTGCACACCAAAAACGAAGAAAAACCGGAAAAACACACGAAAAACACAAAGAAAACCAAAATGGAACAAAATACATAATAAAACACAAAACTAACTAAAAACTAACAAAAAGACTTAAAACAGGGGAAAAAGAATTACAAAACAATAACGAAAAACATAACAAAAATAGTACAAACAAGTTGCAGAAGGTGTTAGCCAACTTACCTCTGTTGGCCAAGCCGATTCATGGGGAGGATCTTGTGTTATATGTATCGATCGGTGAAACGGCGGTGAGTTCAGTGTTGTTGCGAGAAGAGGGAGCGGTACAATTTCCAATCTATTAC